GCAGGTCAAGAAACAATCCGGGTCAATAAACTTACTAGGCACAGGTACAGAATCACAGGAAGCAGGTAAGACCAGAAGGCAACCGAAATGATGGACAGCTCAGGGACTTTTAAATATCCCAGCCCTGCGCTTGCCATTGGTGCCCCAGCGGGCGGCCGCGGCTTCTACTGCGCATGCGCGAACTCGAACGCTGCGGCCGGCCCGGACCTAGTGCCCGTGTGTACAGGGCGGAGCAGTGCGCCTGCGCCGGGACCATCGCGGCAGGGATCGAGGAGATCCCCTCACATTGCCCCCCCCTACGGGCAACCCTCCGGATGGCCCACTTGCCGATCTCTCCCCAACCAGGGTGATCACAGAAAACGAACCTCCAGGACAAGTCTAGGTGCCATGGACATTATGGGCTGGTTCCCACGAATTGTCCTCAGGGCCGTAGCCCTTCCACTTGATGAGAAATTGGGTCTGGTCCCCCCCTTCGTCGGCACTTCAGCATTGCCTCCACCTCAAAATCTTCTTCCTCTTCAACCGTTACGGCTCCCGGGGGCCTGGATTCCCGTTCCGGGGAAGGCATCAGGGACTACTGGTTTTCAAAACAGGGACACGTGGAAGACAGGGTGGATCTTGAGTGTCTCAGGGAGAACCAAGTTCATAGGCCACTTCATTGACCATCCGTTTGATGCAAAAAGGGCCTATAAATTTAGGTCCCAACTTTTTTGACGGGCAGAGCATCTTCAAGTTTGACGTAGCCAGCCAAACCTTCTCTCCCGTGCTGCAACAAACTCCAGGTCCCTGCTCTTCGCTTCCTATTAAAAGCCCTCTTGTAGTCTTCTTGGGCTTGACGAATGCTTTCCTGTAGTTTTTTATTGTTGGAAGTGAAGAAGGTCAGTGCCATCCTGTGTCGCTGAATCGGGCATTCAGGGGACTAAGTCCGGGAGGAATGGACAGGATGAAACCATAGTTGGAGAAGAACGGGGACTGCGCCAGTTGCTGAATGGCAAGCGTTGTTGTACGCGAATTTCCAGCAAAGGGAGAAGTGGCACCCAGTCGTCCTGAGAGAATGATGTTGTGTAGCATCGCAGGTATTGCTCCAGGGTCTGATTGGTCGCTTTCGGTCTGACCATTGGTCTGAGGTGAAAATGCCGAGGAAAGGGACAGCTTGATATCCAGGGCTTTGCACAACGCCCTCCAAAAAACCGCAAGGTAAACTATGCACCCTCGGTCCGAGACGATGTCTTCGGGAACCCCATGCAGTCTAACGATCTCTCTCTCGAATAAAGACTTGCGCCGTCTCGGCTGCTGATGGAGTACTTTCCGTAAAGGAATGAAATGGGCCATCTTGGATAAGCGGTCCACGACCACGAGAAATTGCTGTGTGGTCCAGTGAAGGTGGAAGCTAGGGGGTGGGGGGTAGACTATGAAGTCCATAGAGATTTTCTGCCAGGTGCCGTTCAGGATGGGTAATGGACGTAGCAGGCCCACGCCTTATTTCTTGAAGGCTTGTTCCGCTGGCAGATGGCACAGGAGCCCACGTAATTCTTACAATCCTTGGCCATGTCCGGCCACCAGAAGGAACGTCGGAGAAAAGTTCCAGGGTCTTGATCCGGAACCCAAATGTCCTGCCATTGGGTGGTCATGGCAATGTCCCAAGGACTAAGGTTCGGGCATCCTCCTGGACACCACAATCACGGTCCTCCCTCCATAGGAGTCCCTCCTTGTTCTGGGAGGGGGCGCCCCATCGGGAGGTAGAGCCATCGCTGTGGACAGCTCTCAGAATCTCGGAGCGAAGGTTCGTCTGGAGGGCCAAGAAATTTCCTGCAGGAAGAAAGCCTAGTGTCGGGTACTGGATCTCCTTGGTGGTCCTCGTACATGTGCGACAAACGCGTCAGGCTTCGTGTGTTTCGAGCCTGGCCTGTATGTGATGTGGAACTGGAACCTCGAGAAAAAACATATGCCCATCTTGCTTGTCGTGTGGGCGCAGAGTTTGGCCGTCCCTCAGAAATATTCCAGGTTCTTGTGGTCCGTGAATATCAGGATGGGATGGGAGGCACCTTCCAGCAGGTACCTCCATTCATTAATGCGGTTTTGATAGCCAGTAGTTCGCGATCCCAATGTCGTAGTTCCTACTCCGCAGGGGTAAGTTTCGTGAGAAGAATGCTACTGGGTGAAGTAATTCCTTGGCGCCCTTCGCTGGAAAGGATGAGCCAACCGCGTTTTCTGACGCATCTACTTCTAAGATGTGAGAGGGCAGTGGGGTGGCGTCGGGATGACCAGAATGGGTGCCGAGGTAAATAACTTTTTTAGTGCTTCAAAAGCTTCCTGTGCCTCTGGGTCCATCTGAATCGCGTCCCAAGCTTGGTTAACTGAGTGATGGGGGAGACCAGACCCGAGAAGTTCTTGATGAACTTCTGGTAGAAGTTTGCGAAACCCAATAAAAACGTTGGACGCTTTCCTGTCCGTGGGTTCAGGCCAATCTAGGATCGCAGAGGTGGGGGGGAACCTTCTGAGGGTCCATTGCGATAACCCCCGTGGTGGAGGATAATCAGACCCAGAAATGTAACGCTAGCCTGTTCAAAGCAGCATTTCTCTGCTTTAGCGTACAACCCGTGCTGCCGCAACCGCAGCCGTGACCAACACCTTTGTTACATGTACCCTGTTGCTCCCCAGGGAGGATGAGAAAATCAAAATGTCGTCTAAGTAGACGATGACAAGATGTCCAGGATGTTGATTGGAGCGTGTCTGACCAGGTTATGGTGCTGATTTTGGATGACGTTACATGTTGTAGGGTCCATTTGTCCGTAACAAAGACAAGTCGATTCTGGAGTAGGATAGGTGAGATGGGGAGTAGTAAGTGTAAGTCTCTTTCGGTGCTGTGTGGCATCTCCAGATGTCATAGAGATCGTGATCATTGTAAAAAAACGATTGACGTTATGCTTGGGGGATCGTTTGTTGAGGTGAAGAGTCCAGAAGTGGGTTGCTGATGACGTTAAAGTCTCAGCCGATGAGAAGTCTGCCTTGTTTGTGAAAAATGGTGCGAAATTTCTACAAGTTTGGTAGTGTGGTATATGGCTCGCTTTGATGATGCATGTAAATATTTTCCATGTAGTTTTTGTTTTGTAATAACCCCATTTTTCTTCTTGGGATTTTTCCAGGTGAACGGTGTTGGTACGGTGGAACACTGAGACACTGCTGGTATGAAGGTCCCATTATCCCCAATGCCCCAGGTAATATTTTCCCATGTTGTTTTGCAGGCTTTCAGGTGAACAGTTGGTACGGAATGGTGGTGGCAGGGGGGGTGAAAGTGTGGGGGGTTAAAAAAGGCTTGCGAAGAATGCAAGTAACATGAGTAGCATGGTTGTGCTACTTCAAAACAGGGGGGTTGTGAACAAGCATTGACTGTGAAATGGGTCATGCCAAACAGGTATCTTGTAACGTGGAGTATATTCGGTAAGGGGCTGTTTGCCAGAGAATAGTAGGTTGCTCGTTATAGTGTCGAGGGGTGGTATGGTTTGGAGTGGATAGAGAGAGTGTAGTGAGTTAGGTTCACTCTGCCTTCATTTGTTGCATATTGGTTCCAGGTGGGTTGGTGGGGTTCACGGATATTATGTTTTGTTTTATTAGGTCGATGCCATTTGCTTCTAGGTTTTTGATTGTATGTATTCTGCCCTGGTGTTTGACGGTCGTTTTGTGGGGAAACCCCATTGATAGCTATTCCGTGGTTTTGTAAGGCTTTGGTGATGTTGTCCATCTTTTTTACGGTTAAGGAGTGTGGCTTTGACAAATCCGCGTATAATCTGATATTTGCATGTGATAGGTCAGAGCGAAGGGGGGTTCTGTCTGCCGTAATTTTTTCTTTTATGTGGTAAAAGTGGATGCGAGCCAGAACATCTCTGGGGATTGACGCTGGTAAGGAATGCAGGTTTGGGTATTCTGTGTGTGATCTATGGCGACAGCTCCATTATTGAGAGAGATGGGATGAGGAGTTCATGTATTGTTGGATATATGATAGTTGTGTATCATTGGCGATTATTTTCAGGGAATGCCTCTGAATTTGTGATATTGTTGCGTCTTGAGCGATCCTTCTAAACCTGCTAGTTTCAGGTTTATTTGCTCGATTTCAGAAGTATGGGCAGCATGTGCGTCAATTAAGTTGTTATGCGCTGTAATTATATCTCCCATTCTCGTTTCAATATGCGTAATCTGTGTTCTTGTTGCTGATACACATTTGAGATCTGGGATAATGATACTTATCATATCGCTATGCAGTGTTTGTCATAGGGATAAGAGCATGTTTTTCATACAAATTTCAGTGATAGGCTGGTCAGATGCAGGGAAAGATTCTATTAAAGATGGTTCTGTATTGTGCTGAGGTGATGGAGGAGTGAGAGGCTGACAGACAGATAAAGAATCTGAATCTAGACTGGGTCTAGATTTGGCTGGGCTGCTTGTGGTGGGGAACAGGGGAGAGATAACTCACCCAGGTCCCCAGGGTACAGAGGAGAACGTAGCCTGATGTCCAGATGCTGGGATCTGTTGTTCCCCTCATGGCTGCTGTGTCCGTGCACCCGGCGCCATCTTGGATAACTGCTGTGACAGCAGGAAAGAATTGTGTTAATTTCCCTGGCTGTCCAGGGGTTTTGCGGCAGCGAGGCATGGTCAAAGAGGGTTGTACACCCTTTTATCTTTGTAGTCCCGTGGTTTATGTCCCTCGGGGCCGGTGTGTACTGTGATGTGTCTGGCGGGTGGATGGAGTGCTGCTCTGATCGCGTCCATCCAGGAGCCGGCCGTGCATGCGCCCCGTTATTTACATTTTGAGGTGCCTTGATATTGTGCAGACTGAAAAAAGGTTGAGAAACACTGTTCTAACCCATGCCCACTCTATAACAAAAATGTTTTGTCTAGAGTTGGACTTTAGAGGTCAATGATTTTGCATCACTGAATAATTACTAGCAGAATTAAAGTGTTATTAAACCCAGGGCCCTACATTCACTAAGTGCAATTATTTTAGTAAATATAAACTGCTAAATACCTTTTCTCATCAGCAGTTAGAGCAGTCTTGTGACTTCTATCAGTGTTTCAGCAGAGCACTGGTTAAAGCTTGTCGGAAGAGTTTTCTTTCTGCTCTAGGAGGATGCAAAACCCTTGACCTCTTTCTGGATAGTGCGGATTGGCCTTGTGCTGATCACATGCACTCTCCCAAAAAAAAAAATATCTCTAGCATTACACACTAAAACTGAGCATGTGCAGAATGGCTGCAGTTCAGTCTGTCTTATCAGGAGATAAGACGTGGACATTTGAACAAGAGGAGGAGCAGAGAAGTCATGCTCAAACAGCCTTTTTACACACTACAGAGGATTAACCCTTTAGATTCCACAGTGAGTATAACATGCATGCTTTACTGCATATACAGACTGATTTTACTGTTGTGGGTTTAGTAACACTTTAAGCTTAGAGTAAAGTATGATCTATAACACGTTACTAACTTCACATGTTACCAAGGAAATTTTGTCAGAGTAAAACACATTCCTTAAAGTATAACTAAAGTCAATTTTCTTCTTCAGTTTTGAATAGAGTGGAGAGGGATTATTATACCTATTAGTTTTGGGGGGTTTTTTTTTGCTGTCTCTGCTGCCGTTAGGTAGATTCACCCTCTCTGTTTGTCCTGTTTACCATTATCATTTAAAGTGAAAGTAAAAGAAAATCCCAAATTTTGGGATGCCCCCAAAAAAGTACTAGAGGGGAAATCTTCCATGGGGGACACTAGTTCTTGTGATCTGGGGTCCCTCCCAAGGAATTCCCTTAATTTACTATTTATTTATGGGATTTTCTCTCACTTCCTGTTTGGTTTGGGACAGGAAGTGAAGGGAAATCTCCACAATAAGACACAGATGGTGAAAAAAAAACCTGACAGGGGTTATAACCCTCCCTTGCTCAATCCAAAAAAAAAGTTTTGCCTATAGTTCTACTTTAAAATGAACCTTTCAGTCTGGGCTCATTTATACTTTTAAGAGGGGGGGTTTACAGACAGTGAAGAGGTAGTGTTGCCTCCTCTGTGTCTGTTTTAACCTCTAAAACCCTCATCTGGGGCGTTTGTGGTGCAGTCCCATTATGTTGAAGGGCAGTGCCTGGCAGCCATTGGCGTCCGCTAAACACAGGGGGGATCATTTTTGTTGTTCCATGACGTAAAGCATTGTGGTTCCATCATGTGTACATCCCCAATCCCTAACTTTTTAGCTTAAAGCCTATCATAGATGGGTCGAATTTTGGCTGGTTCAGCAAAAATTACTGAGATTTCATCCATCTATGAGCAGGCTGATTGTACTGAAGTCAGTCTATTGACCCAGTTCAGAACTACCAAGCCTGCTGGATTTTTGCATGCAATTACTGCCGGCAGGTACAGCCACCAGCAGGGCTGCTGATAGAAATCACGAGGCCCCGTACAGCCTGACAGAGCCCCACCCTCCAAAAAAAAAATTAAAGTGATATTTTCATTAACAATACACTAAAATCACTATTAGCAGGCAGCAGGGGGAATCGAATCGTGGACAGGGCAGGTGATCGGTGAGGCGGGGAAGGGGCAATTACAGTAACTGATCATCTCTGTGTCTCTCCCTGCAGCAGCTGAAAGCCGATGGAAGGGAGAGAAGAGGAAGCCTGTTTTTAGCTGCTGCAGGGAGAGAAACACAGGGAATCAGCTATCCCCCCCCCCACATACACACACACACACACACTTCAGCGATCACCCCCTCTCCTGCTCATATCTGATTCCCTACCTGCCTGGGCCCCCCGCTGGCCTGGGCCCTGTACAGGAGGACTGGTGGTACCTCCTTATCAGCGGCCCTGGCCACCAGCAGTAATCATTGTGTTCTGTTGGGAGGGAATGCTCACCGCTGGCAGAAAACAATAGCGTTGCGGGGGGGATTCCCCCATAAACACTGATTGTGTTGATGGGGGGATCAAGCAGTTTTCTTTCCTTCAACCTGTGGTGTAAGGGAAAAAAATGCATAATCTATGGACTGCTTAAGGGAAGGAGGGGGGGTGGTTGTGGGGACAGTAAAAGCACTGCTCAACCATGCACGTTTACCACCCCCCCAGCACCTGCAAGTGTAAACAAAGCATAACTTTACAATTTTGCATGACTATGTTCATATATTTGAATATATTGAATATGTATGAATATGTTCATATGTTGCAATATTCAGCACAAAAAATCATTAAAAAAACATTTTTCATTAAAAACATATTTGAGTTTCAGTCTAAGACATTGTCTAGACTGAGGTAATGGGCAGAATTCACTAACTAGCTTATCGCATGAGTTAAGTCAGTCACATGACCACATATCGCATGTGATACTGAAAATGGCAATAGTGATAGTATGCTGTATTTACCAAAAATAGCAAAAACACTTGGTAAATACCGCATAAAAAGACCCTAAAAAGTCAAAAAGGAAATAATTAAATGCATACGGTAGTGTTCCAGGCATGCGGTATGTACTGTATCTGTTAGTACTGTCATGGGTTTGAGGAATGGGTGGCCGCAGAGTCCTTAACAACCTATGAGTCATCAGAAATATATATATATATATATATATATACACACACACCAAAATTAAGCCAACTAACAGAAGAATTGCATTATTATTAAATGGTATTAACTAGATAGATTTCAGATAATTTACTGATTTTAAGTAACATTTTTTTTTCTTATATTCTTTTCTAATATTTTCTTTCCTAATATATGCAGAGTATACAACGCAGATGCCAGGTAATAATATTAACCAGTTGCCACTCGGCTTAGAGCCAGATGGAGGCTGGGCGAACAGCTCATCCTTTTGGGTGGACGCCAAATGCCGTCTTTTCAGGAACGCACATTCCTGCAGGGCCACTCTGTGGCGAGATCTGTCACTGGCTGTGTACTTCGGACATGGCCGATGACATATCTGTGTACCGGCCCCGTTGCCAGTACCATGTGACCTGCTGTGACCAATCACACCAGGTCACATGACAGTTGTATACAATGGATGGCTTCCTTTCATGCCATCCATTGTATACAAGTGTGTCTAGCTGTGAATGGTCACAGTGATCACATGCACAATCTGGGCAAATCACAGCCCAGCTCTGTCATGTGATTAGCCGTGGCCAAATCACAGCTAATCACAAAAAAAAATCGATTTCCTTCAGGTAAATGCTTGCTTATAGCAAAGAAATTGTTATACTACTTTGGTCATAGTGCAATATGAAAAAAAATCTTAAAAAAAGAGAAAAAATGTAATAAAAAATAAGAAAATAACAAAAAAATGAAAAAAAATTATCATTTTTTCTCGTACTGTCACCAGTCAGTGTCCCTGATCACCGCCATGCCAGTTATATGATGATGCTGTACTGGTGACAGTATGTACAAAAAAAAATAGTGAAAATCATTTTTTTATTTCTTAATTTTCTGAAAAATTATGACAAAAAATTACAACTTCAAAAAATTCGCCATGCCTGTTATGAAATATGTCGGACTGTCTACTCTGCAACAAGGGGCATTTGGGGGATATCTTTACTGTTCTGACATTCTTGGACCTCAAGAAATTAGATTGGCTGTCAGTACTTCAGGATTGATCAGGATTTTCAGATATATCCCATAGTTTGTGAACTCTATAACTTTCCTACAGACTAAAATAACAAATACTAATCTGGGTTATTTTCACCAAAGACATGTAGTAGAATACATCTTGGCCTAAATTTATGAAGAACAATTATTTATTTGCAAACTTTTATAACAGAAACAAAGAAAAACTTGTTGTATTTTTAAAAAAAGTTCGGTTTTTTTTTGTTAATTTAGCAAAAAATAAAAACCCCAGTTGTGATTATATACTACCAAAAGAAAGCTCTAGTTGTGTGAAGAAAATGGTAAAATTTTAGTTTGGGTACAATGTTGTATGACTGCGCAATTGTTATTCAAAGTGTGAGAGCGCTGAAACCTGAAAATTGGCCTGGGCAGGAAGGGGGTAAAAGTGCCCTGTGTGGAAGTGGTTAATTTACACGTGTATAAATGAATTTGTAAAATTGAAAATTTTAGATCTTAATACATTCATGCTACATAATTGAAGATACCAAGAGTGCATAGATAAATTTTTCCAGTGCCTGAAACCTGTATATAGTGCAGACCTGCTTAATAAAACATATTCTGTGAATAAAAGGAAAGAAAAGGTAATTGATAAGTCACATGCAGCTACATGCCATTTTACCACAAATGTGCCCATCACAGTATGTAGTATATTGGTGCCATTAAATTCGAACTTATATCCCTATCATAGTAATACAGGTCTATTACCTGCATTTCAGGGCAGCACACCACACAAGTGTAAAAAAATATGTGAGCTGTGATACTTTAGAATAAAATGTTCAGGTGCGTTAATATGACAAAATGAATAGGCTGCCTGCACTGCAAATATGTAAATTTGGCATAAACCTTTTTTCCTCCACAACATGCCATTAATAATGAGCAAATCTGTCTACCTGAATTAAAATTCATGAAAAATTGATTTTGACAGTTTGACAAAGTGAGCTTTTTGTAATCCATTGCGTCTGCATGATCACAGTTAATCTCTGTTGATGTTACTGTTACCTAAAAATGTATTTTTTAAAGTTTACACCACCATCCTGCTGCTTAATTGTTCAGATAACTCTTGCAACAGTTGTGGTCAATGTGCATCTACAAACAGAAAGGTGCATTAGGAAAAAACCTTTGTTGTCCAAAAACGAACATTAGAGCAAGATTACAGTTTGCCATAGAACGTATAGGCAAACACTAGACCCTCTGAAACAATGTGCTGAACACTTATCAATCCATATAACAGTAGATATGTTTGTCGCAAATAGAAAAACTATTATTTTGGGAGAAGAACCTAATAACCACTGTGAAACATGGTGGTGTAAATTTTCTTGTTTGTGTTGCTTTTCTGTTTCGGAGCTAGCTCAAAGTCACTGGGGATAATGTATTGAAGGAAAATACACTGTTCACTTTGTGTTTTTTTCAGTATGTGTTTTTATACACACACAGAACAAAAATTATTTTACAACAACCTCAAAGTGTCAATATATAAGTAATTTATGATCTCTCCTTTTGAGAGGGTTTGTAAACAGGCCAGAAAGCATCTTTAACCACTTCCTGACCAGGCCATTTTTTGCCGTTTGGCACTGCGCTTTTTCAACTGGTTATTGCGTGATCATGCAAAGCTGTACCCAAACAAAATGTATGTCCTTTTTTCACACAAATAGAGCTTTCTTTTGGTGGTATTTCATCACCACTGGTTTTTTTTTTATTTTTTGTGATATACATTTT